TCAGCTAAAGGGGCCGTGTTCAATCTAAGTTACAGGTGGACATAGCCCACCATCCCATGTGGTAGTCGAACTGGTAACCTTGTTAAGAGCACGTGCTTTCACCAGCTGAGCCATCCTGCCACCTGTTGGCAGCTCACTGGCCCATGTGGGAATTGAACCGGCGACCCTGTTGCTCAGAGCTCACGCTCTTAACCAACTGAGCCACTCGGCCGGCCCTGTTTGTTCTTTCTTGTTACCAAATAAGGTTTACATGGGGGATTTAGCATGCATGCTAAGATGCCTGCAGGAGCCTTTGGCCTTGCCCATGAGTCTTCCTCAGTGTCCAGGGCTCAAATGCTCACCTTAAATGGCTCCCCATCAAGCTCAAAGCCTCTGAGATAGTTTCCGCCTGGATGAGGGTTTCTTAACCTTTGCCCCTATCAACACCTTGACCCGGACATTTCTTGGCCAAAAACGTCTGTTGGTCAGCAAATAAGACTCTGCGTTCTATAGCTTTTCTTCCCGTGGTCCCATCAACCTGTTATAGCTGTCTCCTTGGCACCTCGGGGCCTGGTCAACTGTAAGGCAGATGGGTCCTGATGACCCTTCTCAACTTGATTTCTTTCTAAATTGAGTTTTAGGTATGCAGTGGGTCTTTTCACTGACCCCCAAAATGTGAGCAAGAAAAGAAAGTAACAAAGAGAAAAAGGCCATTGCATTACTGCGCTGACTTCAGGGTCAGGTGAAATGGGGCGGTCTGGTCAGGTGTAACCATTAGGCCTGTACCAAGGCACTGGGTCCTTGTGTAGGATCCCTGTGTGGGTCACAGCACTTCTGGATTTTTTAAAAAGAAATTCTATAACATGGCTCATCCTCAAATTGACCCACTTAAACATATGTTCCTTTTGTAAAGAGAGAAACATTGTTCTAGACCAGGAAATCAGCAAACTTTTTTGGAAAGGGCCAGAAAGTAAACATATTCAGCTTTGTGGGCCACACAGACTCTGGCAACTATTCAGCTCTGCAAAAGTAGCCATAGACAATATGGAAACAAAAAGGAGTAACTGTGTGCCAATAACACTTTATTTAAAAAAACAAGTGTCCGGCCCCTGTCTTAGACCCTCGTGTGTGGTGTTGAGGAAGGCTTGTTTGCTTTCACATTGTTCTGGGAGTTTTACAGATTAAACACCCAGACTCTGCAGCCAGGTGGTTTAGTTTGAAGCTGGCTCTACCTTTTACTAACTGTTGTGGCCTTGGGCAATCTACCTAACCCTTCTGTGCCTCAGTTTTCTTGCCTGTAAAATGGGTATGGTAATATTTTTGTCTTGGTGTTCTTTTGAGGATTAAATGGATCGATGAGTTTAGAACAGTGTCCATCACATAGCAAGCACCCTAGCAGTGAGAGTTATTATTATTAAAAAATGTAACCATTAGATGACATCAAATTTTATTGTGAGGCGGTCACCCTCCTTTCACTCTTCCTGTTGGGGAGGAAATTTCAGATGGGTGCTGCCGAGTGAGTGTGACAGAGTGGGACCCAGTGACTGTCCTTCGTGCAGATGTGCGTCTGGAGCTGTGTTTCCTGCGCTGGGACGAGGACAACTGTGGGGCTGCCCTGCCTGGCAAATACCGGATGGACATCTGCTGCTGCTCTGTGGGGGCTGCATGGGGGCCCGCGTGCAAGGCATGCCCAGAGCCTGAGTCCCCCGCATTTGCCAGCCTGTGTCCCCGGGGGCTGGGCTTTGCCAGCAGGGACTTCCTGTCAGGCCGGCCCTTCTATAAAGGTGTGTTTGGGCATGGGGAACTGGAGGATGGAGGGGGGCACACAGCACGGGCAAAGGCCAGGAGGTGGAAAAGCTTAGGAGATGAGACATCCGTCAGTTTGATGACACCTGATGCTCCTACACCACAGATGTAAACGAGTGCAAAGCCTTCCCCGGCCTCTGTACACATGGCACCTGCCGCAACACTGTGGGCAGCTTCCACTGCTCCTGTGCAGGGGGCTTCACCCTAGATGCCCAGGAAAGGAACTGCACAGGTACGTGCCCACTGCTGCCTCTTTAGGAGGGGGGGCGCCTGCAAGGATGGGGACCACAAATTGGACATGGAGTCAAGGTCTGTTTGTTTAGGCGCCTCTTGTCATGCCTGCCTGCCTGCTATGTGCCCCAGTGCAGGTCATCACCCTCTCTGGGCCTCAGAGACCTTGACTATAAAACAAGGGGCTCACAAAGGTGACCTCCAGGGGCCTCCAGGCAAGGTGGAAATTCCTGCTCTCATGTGGTGTGCAGTCATGGCACCCCCATTCCCCTGTTCAGTTATTTCGGCAACTTGGGGTTCCTGGGCAGCCCCATGTGTCTACAGATATGGAAGCCCAGCCTGTACCCCCTCTCTCCCCAGACATTGACGAGTGCCGCATCTCCCCTGACCTCTGTGGCCAGGGTGCCTGTGTTAATACCCCGGGCAGCTTCGAGTGTGAGTGTTTCCATGGCTACGAGAGTGGCTTCATGCTGATGAAGAACTGCATGGGTAGGTGGCTGTCCTGGACAGAGCGATGCATTGCAGGGCTTGGGGCCGAGCGAAGGGATGGTGGGGATGTTGCTGTGATGGATGCATGTGGAGGGGCAGGTGTGGGGAGAGCTGTGATCCAGCTGGGACACAGTGAGTACGGACACCGTGGGGCATCGTCCTCAAAGGATATTGGGTCTGGAGTGCAGAATTGAGGCCTGGGGACTGAGATTCCAGTGAGTTCTCCCCAGGCGGGTGTTGCATGAGAAGATGAGAGGGCCCAGGGAGAAGATGGGGAGCCTCTTGTCCCCTTTCTTCACTTTTTCATGTGCTTCTACTTAGGAACTGTGGAAAATTCGACAGCAGAGGGCCATTTTCTTAGGCTCATGATCTAACGCAGAGACAGGCATTAATAAAATCAGTTCCCAGGAAATGCAAAATGGCCACTGTCAGAAGTGCTTGAAAAGGCCACTGGGGAATATGTTCCATTCTGTGGGGCTTGAGGTTGTGGCTGAGAGAGTGGGAGTCAATGGGGTGAAGAGGGGCCAGAAGAGGCCTGCAGAAAGAGCAGCATGTGCAGAGGCCGTGGGTGGACCTGAGGGATAGAAAGAGGCACGTGAGACTGGAGTGTGAGGAAGGTGGTGAGGTGGGTGGCTAGGTGCCTGCTCCCTGTGCTGATGCCTGTCGGCTGGGCCTTGCCTTCTACTGTGTGCTCCAGGAGGGTTTCTCAAAGCCTCCTTCAGTGACTCCAGGAGAGTCAGCCTCATGGCCCTGATTGTCCTGAGAATCCCAGCTTCCCTCCCTATCTGACTTGTTGCTCCTCCTCCAGCTCAGACTCCACTTCCCTGGGTCATCAGTGCCCCAAACCTCCAGGCTTTCCTGGCTTCGACTGGGGTGCTGGGGCTGGGAGGTCACAGGAATAAGCTTCAAGAGCCACATAATGCCCTCNAGTTCTGGGTTCTGATTGCCACCCGAGCTGCTCACAAACTCGGTGACCCTGGGCAAGTGACGTAACCTCTCTGCCTCAACTTCCTTCTTTGTAAAATGGGGATAATAGCAGTACCTACCGCACGGACTCGGAGAGGATGAAATGCAATTGATGGAATGATTTGCCCAGGGCTGATATGTGAGTACTTAGTATGCATTCACACAGGAGAGCAGTGAAGTTGGGGCTGTGACAGCTTCGCGGGGCCTGATCACAGTGGTGCTTAATAAGCAGCGGCAGCAGCATTTTTGTAAACATTCTTACGTTCTGTCTCTGTCTTCCCTGCTTGAGAGGCAGCTACTTGGTCAGAGTCCCTGCGGTTCAGGGATCTGAACCCCTTCCTCTATAGCAGCTGTGTGACCTTGAATCAGTCTGTTGACCTCTCCTTGTCTGGGCAGGCCCCAACTCCCCTTGAGGACCTAGTATGGTGCTAGGAGTGCAGAGCCCCACTCCCGCAGTGCCCCTGGGGGGATCCCCAGGTGTGCAGGGTGTGGCAGGGAGGTGGAAAGATTGCATGTTTTCTCAGCCTGGGACAGGTCCAGGTGGGAGGGGTTTCTCCACTGTGGGCCACTGGCCAAGATTTGTGGGTTTTTTAAACCTAAAAATATGCTCTATGAGTGAGAGCCCAAGAAATCCAATCACCAAGTAAAGCCATCAGACTTGAGGGCACAGTGGGAAGTGGAAGAGTATTGTGGTTCCTATGCCTGGGGAGCTTTTGCCTCAGTTTCTCTAGGGACTGTAGTCACCAGCTCACCAGTCTGCTTCTTGGGCCCCTTTTCAAATTCACAGCTTCTCAGGTTTCCCCAGAATGTGCAGGCTTGGCAGCTGGGGACACATAGCTGTAGATCCCAGTGTCCCTGCTTGAATGTCCAGTCTGACCTTCCACTAGGGCAGACCCCTAAACCAAGGGGTCTTTTTCAGTGGTTGAGTAC